AGAGAGAGCGAGAGCGAGCGAGAGAGAGAGAGAGAGAGAGAGAGAGAGAGAGAGAGCGAGCGAGCGAGCGAGAGCGAGAGGGGGGTCACATCACAGTGGAGTCAGCTGTCTTAACTGTGGCTTGTGTACTGCAAACACATACCAGCTTCATCACTGTGTCTGTCACGTGACTCTGTTCCCCTTTCGAGTTCTGTCTTTACATTTATTTTGAAAGATGAAGCTCGCGATTATGGTAAGGGGCGTTACATTTCCAATGAGTGCTTGTGGTGTTCGGCCAATCACAATGCACTGGGTCAGCTGGCCAATCAGAGCAGAATGCGCTTGTCGGAAAGAGGGACTTTGTTAAAAACTAAGTGTTTGAGAGAGGCGGGGCATAGAGGACCTACAATAATGTACAGTATTTGAAAAATAATGTGTTTTTGAACATTAAAGCATGTCAACATATTCTGTTACACCAAATAATGATCTTTAAAAAAAGCATTATATGACCTCTTTAATTCGGCACACACGTTTCTAAACTAGCCTGTGACAAATAATATGGGAGTCTGCTACCATCTAGTTGAAAAATAAGTAATTCAGTTAAATTAATTATAATAAAATTATTAATATACGCAGCTATTACACACACACACACATATATATATATATATATATGTGTGTGTGTGTGTGTGTGTGTGTGTGTGTATGTATACACTCACTATTAATTTTATATAATCTATCACTATATTTATGTAATAGTATATTATATCCATACCCGATAAAAAAATCTATGGAAATATCCAGGTCTTCCTCCAAGACAATGGCAAAATCTGCATCCTAAAACTTTTTTTTTTTCCCCCAAAGTCAAACACTTGCAAGCTGTTTCACAATGTAACTGTATATAAGGTGTGAGGCAGGTGATCATTTACTCACTGGATGCAGATTGAAGGTTGCAGTCAAGCTGGCTTTGTAGTGCTGAGACAAAATTAACATCAATATATTATTGCCATCTTATGGTCATTCACAAATAGGCTTTGAGCAGTGCAATCATCCATCACTGGCCATTCCTTTCCATGTTAATTGTTCATTTTCAAACAAAAATCACAAACATATCACCTGTGACACTCTAGCATTCTTAATACTGGTAGGCGTATGCTGAACTCCTTTAAGACCGAAGAGATCCACCACATCCATGGGTTCCTATCCAGAAAGCTTTTGTTAAGTTTGTAAATATGTATAAATCCTCTCACAAAAGCGGAGAAGAAAAAATGCATTTAAGAGGAGAGAAAAAAAAAAGGGGAAAAAAGGAGACAATACCTCATAGTAGCCATCAATAAAAACAGTGATTATCTGTGGATTGACACCATGGGAGGAAAGAAGAGAGCGCAGCATCCTAGAGAAACAAACACGGCTTCAGTCAGGTATTCAAGGCATGCATTTTTTTAATATAAAGGATTTCTGATTTCTCCACTGAAGCCAACAGGCTTTGAGCAGTGCAATCATACATCACTGGCCATTCCTTTCCATGTTAATTGTTCATTTTCAAACAAAAGTCACAAACATATCACCTGTGACACTCTAGCATTCTTAATACTGGTAGGCGTATGCTGAACTCCTTTAAGACCGAAGAGATCCACCACATCCATGGGTTCCTATCCAGAAAGCTTTTGTTAAGTTTGTAATTATGTATAAATCCTCTCACAAAAGCGGAGAAGAAAAAATGCATTTAAGAGGAGAGAAAAAAAAAATGTGAAAAGGAGACAATACCTCATAGTAGCCATCAATAAAAACAGTGATTATCTGTGGATTGACACCATGGGAGGAAAGAAGAGAGCGCAGCATCCTAGAGAAACAAACACGGCTTCAGTCAGGTATTCAAGGCATGCATTTTTTTTATATAAAGGATTTCTGATTTCTCCACTGAAGCCAAATCAAAACGTGGGAATTTTTTTTTTTTTTAAAGTATGTGAAATACATGTGTCTTGATTGTCACTTCTGGTCAATTTAATGCATCCTTGATGATAAAAGTATTAATTTCCTAAAATCAATTCTTGGTTGGCTACAAAAATATATGAACAAACAAAAACAGAAAAACATATCAATACTTGCCACAGACTTAACTAATTCATTCAACTCCACATAATGTGGTTTGGTAGTATGGCAAAGCACAAGGAAATGTACGTTTACTAACCTATATAGATAGTTTG